TATGCTATTAAGTAGTAAAGAGACTATAAAAGATATTTAACAAGTATTTACTAATAACATAGGCAGAATTTGTTACACTTTCTAAATATCAATAAAACCTTATATTAGTTAGATTATATTTAATAAATTAGAAAATCTTGTATATCAATATAAAAACAAAAGAACATCAAGACTTTCACTTTACTTTAAAGAAAAAATACAGATTTTTACAATAATTACAATATAAATAACACTATTACACAATCAATTTTACTTATAATTATAAAAATTAAATTTTTAAAAAACAATTCAAAAAAAAAAATAAATGAAAAATGAAATTTAAAAAAATTATTGCATATGATATAACTCCAAAACAATTGATACATATTTATATTACAATTTAAAACTTTAATAAAACAATATTTTAACAATTGAAATACAATTATTTAATAATATAAAAATGTAAAAGCAATTAAAAGAATATCTAAAGATTATATTAAAACTTTTTATACAAAAAAATTTTTATATCAAGGAAAAAACTTTTTTTTTTTTTATTTTTAAAAATATAAATTAAAAATTATTAAATTGCTTAAAAATAATATTTATTTTCAATATGATAATAATTTCAATTTCAAGTTTGTTGAAAAAAAATATAAAGCATAAAATTATCTCAGAAACTTTTAAAATTTATATATTAATTTATAGTCAAAGTTTATATTATATAAATTCAATAGATTTGCTAAAATATTTATTTTTTAAACAAGTTTTGGAAATATTTGAACGAGCATATAAAATTGAGAAATTCATTTTATTTATTTTTTTTAATGAAATTTAAGTTTGGATTAATTATACCGTATATCACAAGTACAGTAGTATTAAAAAACCACGAGTGTTATGAGAACTGCATGAAAAAAAAAAATTTTTTTTATCTTTTATTTTTGATATCGTGCACGTACACGTACGTATACACAGTTATACTGTACATTCGAAATTTCATATCGATCGTTTCTTTGTTCCAAAAACATGTGTTTGTTATATATAAAAAAAAAAAAAAAAAATAGACGTACAGTAGTAGATTGAAATTACAAGTCAAACCAATAGTGAAATAAATCCTGTATAAAATGTGTCCTTGTCCCAAGAGACAGCACGTTTTTTTAATTTTTGACAATGTTACATCTATATTCAAATAAGATCAGCTTTTTGGCAATAAAAAAATGCCAGAACCGTTACAATAAACCGAGAATTATAGGAATGAATAGACCTCATCAATTTCCACATATGCATAAACTCGCGGCTGGAATTACAAGAGAATTAGGGATCGCATCACGTGGATGAATATGGTGTTGGCGCAAGGCGAGGAAACTCATCGTAGAGCCTTCCAGACACCCAGGGATCACGCAATCGATACAACACTTTTCACGAGACAAGAGAGCAAGCGAATAGGCAGTTTCAATCCCAATTCGGAGTCATCGAAAAAAACAACCACTTAATTGTTTACGTTTCCTAAGAGGGAGGTACGCATTCAATGCATAATTGATAACAAATCGTACTTTTACTCAGGAAAATATGCGTCTTACTCGGGACCTCTTCTTTCATCGTGATATAAAGTTGACGTGCATTTGTGTCGCATACACACAATACATGAAGTGAAGACAGTGCAGACAGGTGAGATGGAATAAAGGACCACACAACAATTGACGACGTACCAAATTTCAACGAACAGTAAAGAGAACAATGGTGAGCAGTGGATAGCGTGCGCAATTGCAGGGAAAAATGCGTGACTTCCCTATATTCTTCTTTTTGTCTATTGTCATTGTCACGGATACTTTTCGCGCATGCAATAATAATAATAATAATAATAATAATAATAAATCACCTGGTCATCCATTGTTATTGTTACCGGTGGTATTCGTTACCATATTCGACTCAATTGTAAGGTGTTTACTCATTACGCATATGGTAATGAGAATGGTTGGCGTGGATATAAGCGAGATGAAAAATGTCCACACGAACAATAATAAATCTACATGTGAATGGTAAATAATACAATCACACGTACCTATTACATTGATTATTAGAATAAAAAAAAAGGACTGAATCCTTCTTGATCGATTGATTGATTGATTGATTGATTGATTGATATCATGTGTACAATAATACCTTTCAACACGATGCATGCGACACATTTTACTTCTACAATATGCGCAACGCAATGTATTCTAATGTCATACATGCATTTATCACAAAGAAGGAAGTGAGACGTTAAATGGGTTGACAGAGTGACCGGTAAAAAAGGAAAGAGAATGAGATCGCATTTAGAAAGAGTGTCAGAAAGATGCCGCCTTGTGTATTATTTACAATCGAATATGTAATGAAACAAACTTCTTTGTTTTCGATTTCCGGATGGATCTTTTTTTAGGCAACAGTGTTTGCTAAATCGTTGAAAAATTAAGGTTTTATGCGGAAACAAGGAAGAAGCTTTTTGTGCAAGTGCATGTTGACGACCTTGTAATGAACGGATTAAAACTAGCAATTCCGAGAATGGGAATTCTTATTCTTTCTTTCTTTAAAAGGTTTGATTCTTTTCTTTTTTCTTGTTAAAAATAACTTTGCATCGCGTGAATTCTTGATGTGAAAGAGGTGCGCGTGAAAACGTGCAATCGTGCAAGAAGCCTGTACGCTGAAAGGAGCATGTGCCGCATGAATTCGAAAAATCCATGCATCCATGACGTGTGACACTTCTTCTGATGCGTTCTTCAAATATTCTTAATATGTGACACGTGCAATGGGTCAATGACCGAATCGAAAGATGCACTCACCGTGAGATCATGATAATAAGGAAGGAAAAGAAAGAGAATTATGCGTTCCTCACGGACGAGACAGAGACGAGACCTTTGGATGAACATGGAAATTCACGTGCATGCATGATTCGTGTCTTAGGAGAGCGCGAATTGCGAGATTCATCGGAGAATTTTTTCGGAACGTACGATATGCACAACATTTCATTCTCGACATTCACACAAGGTACTCTTTTTCGCTGATGCAACAGGCGCTACGAAGAAATTCCTAACCTCAATTCTTTCACCCTTCCCTGCACCACCACTTGATAAATTTCTCAATATCATGTATCACGATAACACACAACATATTATGCATAACAATCGGAAAAGAATGCATATAACATTAAATTTTCAAGCATGCGTAGATTTAATGATAGGCGATGAGAAACATCATGCAAAATCATAGAATACGAGTGCAAACGAGGGAACTTGGCTGGATTGTCATTTGGCTACTCACCTGCCTGATAAAATTTAGTCTAATTCGGAACAAGGAAAAGAATTTCAAGAGTGAACGTTAACGGTGTAGCAAACAGTTACAGATTTTATGTAAACATCACGATGACCTACATGACTAATACCAAACTCGGATTTGACATGGTGAAACCCGTGACATCTAGTGAAAATGCATATCTTGATAAATTTCTGTGATCCAAAGTCGTGATCCGACGATCGTTCAGATGACACAACAGCATCACCATCGACTCCAATTCCGAAATGGTGGTAGACCAGTCATCAAAAAACTTGTGTCAATCGCGTGTGTCGAGGGATTACAACGATCATGTGTTTGATCAAGTTAGGGATTGGGTAGCGTAAACAAATAAATGAATATATGTAGCAAAAATGAATGAATCTCAGTTTGTTACCATGAGATAATTTGCATCTGATAATAGGTTGACAGGAGTTTGACAGGTATCACAAGATAATAAGGTATTGTCAAGGGGAAGCTGTATGGTGAATCCATCAAAGGGGCAAACTCCTGGAGAACCGGGAGAACATTAATTAATTCGTACCACCGAGCTGTCAAAATCTAAGCTTACCGTTAACCACCTTGCTGAGCTATTATTATCTCGACCATCATTTCTGGGGTCAGACGGTGGGACTCATTCATTCATTACTCGGTGTACGTGATGGATGGTCAACTATATAGTTGATGATATCATCATAGGTAGGTCAATTTGACATTGCACTTTGGGGCGAACGCGATGAATTTAATTAATTGCGCCGAAAGAAATATGATTGAGGAAGAAGAAAAAGTAAATGACGGCGAGGGTTGCACGTACACGTACACGTTTCTTTTTTTTTTTTTCTTTCCTCCTATCAACAAGTAAGTGGTTACACGGGAAACCCGTTAGATAATACATGAACATATGAAAGCTTCCCCATATTTCGAGAAAAAGGAAAGTTCATTGCCACCTTATCCTCGTTACATTTTTACCCCACACAATCTACTCCAAGGTTTCAACCACTAAACTCCAGTGGACGGGACGTGAAGCAGGTTTGATCATGGGTAAATCTTCCACACATGGTGTTAACTCGGGGCTAATATACATGTGCTGTATATATTGTACCATAAACTATCATAACGTGCGTCTGTTAGCCTTGTCGGGTTAATTTTGATAACAAACAACAATACCTTTGTTATCTGAATACAGGTATCCCAAATTTCCGAAAATTGATTTTATCAGTACGTGTTTACATGTGTACTTTATGACTCACGTTCACACCAGTTTCACATGAATCGCATGATACAAGGTATCGGAGATTAAAGATTGTGAATCGATACACACGCAAATATATATACTGTATATATACTGTATGTATATTTTTTGATCTAGTGTCAAAAAAGTCTAAATATTTTTGGTACGAATGCCCGAAATCGATCTTTTAGTGTAATGTCAAAGACTATTGATTGACTGGTAGCCGAAAATGTTCACACAGGTATTCTCAATATAAAAATATAAATTTAAAGTTTTGCTTTATTGTGTGAAAATTCCATTTACCTACATACCCCGTATGTTTGTTGGTTGTGGGGAAGAGGTTCATCTTTTTTGACAGCTGCCAGGATGTGTACATCACACTTTTCGATTTTCCACTTGACGGACCTATTCATATTACTGGAAATTGCGTTAATTCAAGAATTCACGGACGAAAGTGAGAACGATTGAATACACAAGATAGAGCATCAAATTAAATGAGTTTGTCGTTTCAGCGGATCAACCGACGGCCAGACGGTTGAATGTCAAAGGTGAGTTAACCGAATGTGAAGAAGGAAACTTCCAATCACGAAGCCAATTGTTACGCGGTTCCCTCTTCGGGTTTGGGTGGTAGTTTGGAACTTAAGCGTGACCACGTTTTTCTGTTTGTTTGTTTATGCATTCATCCATTGGAATTAAACGAATGGTGTGAAACACTCATGCATGAACGAATGAAAATACGACATTGCGTGGAATTGCGAAATTTCACGTTTGGCACCTGTTTTTAATCTCTCTAGGAAATAAGACGTGTGCGACACGTTAATTTAACTTTCTTTGTCTCGATCTATATGTACGGTGGTGGTAATACGGTAAATGTAGTGATATTAGTCTAACTTTATTTCAAATGTGGAATTCCAGATGCCAATCCCACATGAAGAAAGAAGTACATCTCACAAGGAAAAAACCATCGTACAGCATTGTTGCCGTATGGTGCATCACGGATCACGGAGATTTTCGACGGTGACTTTTCTTGACAAATATGTGTTTTTGTCATATGAGCGAGCCTTCCTTACACACAAAAAAAATAATACCCCTGCATCGTGCAGAAGGTTTGGTGTCGGTGGATATATAAAGGTCGAGCATTGCACACTCCAAAAATGCATTCATTCATCCAACACCATCCCTACTTGATTCCAGAAAAATTTAAGGTTTTCACCTTCCTTTTCCTGCACATTCGACAAACAACATTCACCATCCTCCCAAGTTTTTAATATTAATTCCTCGTGTCGGCGGCCTAATAGGTCTCTGCCTACATGACGCATATGGTAACGGCGGTAGCAGTGTTGTGTTTCACAAAGCACGCAGCACCCACTCACTTCGACCAACCATTCACGCCTACATACACACAAACTCAGCCGTCTGTCCAAAATATTGAAAATCAACCGTATGCAATGTAAGAGGGAACAAGGAGTCGGTTTGTATGTGCTCTAACGATTTGTAAATAGGGAAATCTTTAATCAACTCAACGTACAGTGCGTATGTACATACATACGTACCTACGTATGTAGCATCGATCGAAATCACGAGTACGTGCGTTGCGATAATTCGCGAGTCCATACATCCGTACTTAAGAAATGACTGTGAACGAACACGGTGAAATCCTTTCGGGTGAACATCGAATTTCAAATGCGTACGTGCATCGCATCGAGATGTTCACGGTGTCCTACTCAATATTTTCATTTACAAGTCAAACAATGTAAGTGGTAACACCACCGTACTTCTGTTTACAAAGAATGCGCGTTCTTGACCTCTAACAATAAGTCGGTTTTAAACAATAAACTGCCAAAAACGCATTTGCTGTTTATTCGCTGTGTTTTAAAATTTAAAATTTACTATTTGTGACCATGCGGTTTCAAATTGGTCAGCCACGATGATGATGGAAAGATGATAGGATAACAGTGGCACACTATTTGTAAAAGACAAAGAAGTTTAAATGTATGTGCCCGTGTCGCACCTGCGTCGCTCTGATAGTAAGTTTGGGTCTTGCATCAATGAATACTCATTGTGAAAAAGGCATTTGAAATTCGTGTGCAATCTATGCACGATAGACAAATATTTATTACCGAGCACGTGACCATCAAACCTGGGTCACTTCAGTTGACCGTTGTCAAAAATCTCTCGGAGTGAATGTTGTGCATTTCATTAGACCCATTCTACAATTAAATATCTGTATACAAAAAAATCAATTCATTCATTTTTTATTATGAAATAAAAAAAGTTTTAAAAATTGTTCAAATATTTTTTTACGATCATATTTTTAGCAAAATAAGAAATCAATACAATAATTATGTTTACATAAATTTATTTGATAATTTATGATAATATATAAATTTATTTTTTACAGTATATTATTTATTAAAATTTTAATTAATTAATTTAATATTTAAAAATTAATTTATATTATAAATCAATAAATTAAATTTTTTTATATAAATAAATTATTTACTTGTCTTATTATTAAGTTAATAAAATATATTATCAAATTATATTAAATTATTATAACTTTAAATAATAAATAAATATATTATATAATCTTTTTTTCTATTTAATTTATTATATATAAAATAATATAAAACTTTTAAATATATCTTATAAAAATAATATATTACTTATTTATTAAATAAATTTAAAAATTTAAATCTTTTAATAAAATTAAAATTTGCAAATTAGCTTTATGATTATATATTATAAGTTTAAATTATATAATTTTATTTTATTAAAACTATTATATAAAATAAATAAAATAAAATAAAAACAATACAAATATATATATATATATTCAAAAGATTTGTAAAAAAAAAAAATTAATTTTATAATTAGATTAATATAATATTAAAAAATCAATCTTTAAAAGTTTAAAAAAAATAAAATAAAATTAAATTACTTAATCTAAAATTTAATATTTATTTTATAAAATAGTTTAAACTTTTTTAAAAATATTTTAAAAAATTAATATAAAAATATAATTGTTTAAATTTAAAAATAAAAAAAATTTTGAAATATTCTAAATACAAAAAATATTGACTATATTAGCCAATATTATTAATTAAATTTGATTTTGATTTTGATTTTAAAAATTCTGGTTTGAAATATAAAAAAAAAATAAATATTTTAAAAATAAACTATAAATAATTAAGTTAGAAAAAAAAAAGTAAAAAAAATATATTTAATTCAAAAATATTATTAATA